ATCCTTAAAATTAATAAAATCGTCAACATTTTTTAACAGCATGATAATATAACTCTTTACGAAGAAAATAAACCGAAAATCGTTACTGTAGGGCTATCCGCTGAGAAGATCTAGCCAATTTTCGAGAGCGCGTTTCTTTCAAAAAATTTACTTTTTTGGGTTGCCGCGGGCTATGCTTGCAGTAAATAGCAAATATGGGCAAGTAAATGTAAACGAGTTATAGAAGAAGAGAAAAGAGAAGATTTTTAACGATTTTTTCCATATATCTCGAAAAGTAACAAAGCAATCGATACTTTGAAAAAATCAGTCGATAGATCTTTTTAAAACCTACAACTTTCTCATTTAAACTTTTTTGAAATCTCCATAATCTCAAAGTTAATATTTTTAAATGAATATTTTTGCCGTAACTTTTTAAAATATTTTTTTTTCTGAATTTGGTGCATTTAGCAACAAACTGCACCTAGTATTAAAATTCTAAAGTAAGAAAAAAATAAAATGGCCCTATGTTTCTGCTCATGGTTTCCAGACACCCTGTATAATCAGTGGGTAATAAGTGGTGAGAAGGTCATAGAATTCTGTCAATTTTTTGTTTTACAAAAATTATTGGAAATAATTTGCTATTTTTAGTAATACAGTTAGGGTTACCAGTGATGTTATTTTCATCCAATGACTTGTGTTTCGTAATCATTCATTGAGGTTTCAAATAAAATTATTCACGTTCATTAAAAATTATACCCTGCAGACAAGAACTTTGTAAAATTTTCATTTGCAATTTATAACAATAGTCAAAGCATTAAAAGCAGCAGAACAAAAATATTTAATTATTATTTTTCAAATATAATTTAGTTGTTTTGTTTCATAAATATTGAAATTTACCAGATAAATGTTTATATAATTATTTTATTTTTATTTTTCATATTTGAGTAGTTTTTTTTCTTCGGTTATTATATGTGTTGATTACCCTACACAAAATTTGATACAAGAAAAAATGGAATAAAACAATCCATTACAATTTAAGAGTATTCAAACATCCAGTGTTTAATTCTATTAAAATAATTTTTAGGCACCCAAATTCAGAGAATGGGGAGCTAATCTGATAACAATACACGGCAGATCTAGGGAACAACGATATACTAAGACTGCTGATTGGCAATACATAAAATCTGTAGCTCAAGCAGCAGCTCCTCTTCCCGTTTTAGGCAACGGTGATATACTAAGTTTTGATGATTACAAAAAGGCAATGGAAGCAATTCCGGAGCTAACTGGTGTTATGATAGGGAGAGGTGCTCTTATTAAACCATGGATATTCTCTGAAATAAAAGAACAAAAACTGTGGGACATTTCCAGTTCCGAGAGATTTGACATTCTTAAAAAGTTTACAAATTATGGATTAGAACACTGGGGTTCTGATAATAAGGGTGTTGAGAATACCAGGAGATTTTTATTAGAATGGTTATCATTTTTGTATAGGTATATACCTGTGGGATTATTAGAATGTCCACCACAGAAGATTAATGAGAGACCTCCTTTATACAAAGGCCGGGACGATTTGGAGACTCTTATGGCATCACCATCGGCATCTGACTGGATAAAAATCAGTGAAATGCTATTAGGACCTGTGCCAGAAAAATTTCAGTTCTTACCGAAACATAAAGCCAATTCTTACAAATAAATAAATATATTAAATCCCTTAACATTGGTAATTTATATAATTTGATTAATAATTAAAAGTTATGAAATAATGTATTTTTTTCATCACAATCTTTTCAGTGAAACTTGATAAACTTAGGGCAAGATTCTTTCTTCCCACTAAAATGATTTGCAAAATTTTTAATTTATATTTTTCTGCACCCATTTCTACATCAGTATTAATTGAAATATATATTTTGTAAGAATGGTTGTATAAAGTTTACCAAATGGCAAAAAATTAATTCAAAAAGGTTTTTTATTAAAGCTATCTAACACCTTTTTGATGTTGTAAATACTCTAATAAATCATTTAATCCACTAAACTCAGTTCTACCTTGGGGAGGATCGTTCTTTGGTATCTTTGGCCATATTGACCCTACTTTGTAACGGAATTCTTCTATCTAGAAATTCATATGTCGTGAAATGTTCATATTAAATATCATTGAACTTACATTTTTTGCTCCAGATAACTTCCAAACACTATAAAATAAAATCCCACAACCTGTAACAGCATACAAAGTTCCCCAGCCAAGTGCTCGTATAGCTAAATTTGCACCTGTTTCAGGTAATTCTTTTGTAGCTAACATTCCTTTTCCGAAGTATTTTGGGTCTTGTTTTCTGGCAGCAGCAAGTGTCGCACCAAAACCTGCTAATGCCGCTATTCCAGAAACTCCAGTGAGAAAAAAAGCAGCTGCAATTTTATATTTATTAATTCACACATAAAAATTTTGTTTACTGAAGTACCTTTAACTTTAAATTCTCTACTATATTTTGTCTTCTTCTCCGTATCAGATACATCAACACTTTGTTCCATTTTGTAATTTTAATTTCATGAGATCTGCCTATTAATAAATATATTTGCAAAAATCAATTTGTTGAAATTAAAATATTTCATCTAAAATTAAAACATAGACATAGGTGTCTTTCGTTTTGACTTATGTCTAACTAACTAAGAACTATTAATAGCTAATATCAGTTCAGAGTAACTCTGACTTGCTATTAGCCTTCGATCATAGGGCCTTTCGATTTGACAAAAATAGAAGCTATTAGTAGCTAATAGGAACTTAGAGTTACTCTGAACTGATATTAGTTGCTAATAGGTACTATTTTTGCCAAAACGAAAGCCTCCCATATACTACCGCCCAGCCAGGACAAAAGAAGGTCCCACAAAGCGCCTACACCGGCCGCATTTGCGGTCGGGGTAGACGACGGATGGGGCCCACCTACGAAGGCTGTCCAGGCCTACACGAGATGAGGCAGGATAAAGAGGGATAATCCCCCTCGATCCCAAATCATTGAGGCCAATTTCTAGCCATGGAATAATGGCGCGCGATCATATACTACCGATACCGATCGAGATATCTGTTATAAAGGTACATGCTATCTTTCTCTTGCTGAACGTGATTGGCTGACGACTGATGCCACGTGACAGGAACAGCCAATAACATTCGGCGAAAGAGAGGTACTATTTGCCATCATAGCAGCTATCTCTCTCTTCGGCGCTCTTAGCTACTAACCTTCGAGCATATACTATAGGAGGTGGTATGCCATTACGAAAAGCAGGGAGGCTGTGTAGTCTCCATGACGAAGTGTGGCTGAGTGTGCGAGAGAGACAGACAGTATCTCAGTACATGCTGTCTCACTCTACTTGGTTGGAAAAAATGAATGCTGGCGCTCATTGACTCACGCAGGGCTCCCGTCGTTGAAGCAAAAAATGGGACAGCATGTACTTAGAGATTGTCTGTCTTTCTCGCACGCTCAGCCACACTTCGCAATGGCATGCTACCTCCAGTACTATATGCTCGAAGCTACTAACAGCCATTAGTTTTGCCAAATCGAAAAGTCTTATGATCACATCTCAACTGAATTAACTCTTGTCAAACTACCTTCATCCTTGTAATTCTTAAGGATTTACTACATTAGGAAAGAACAGCGTGTTAAAAAGTGTAGACACTGTAAAAAGAAAGGGCGATAGTTTGAGTACTCGCTCTCTCTCTTCCTATTCGATAAGGAAGCAGTTGCGTTAGCCAATGAGGTGCCTGCGTAAGAGAGAAAGGTAGCCCCCAAACTTTAAGTTCTCTATCTGTCATTCGCTTACACTGTTGTTGTAAGCGAGCTTCCTCCATGTAGTGTATATGCTTTAAGGCACAGTTTAATAAGCTGTGCTTTAAGGTTCAACCCATTCGAGGATCATTAACCTTATCATATTAAATGTTCAAAAAAAGATAGATAATCGGACAATCTTACAAATGCCATTAAGATTTTACTCTGGACTTCAATTTCATATGCTATATAATAAAAACAGAAAACAGATATTTCCCGTCTGTATTCATAAAGTCAATGTGAAAATTTGTAGTTTATTATACATACCTGTTATTGTTCCGTTTGTTTAAAATTTCCAAAAATATACATTAGATCTAAAAGTATGGATAATAATGGTATTATTTTCTCAGCTGTCAACATCTATTTTGATGAAATTAGTGACGAATTTTTGCATTAATGAGAGTTTCATAAGTAAACCGTGTGATAATGCTTTAAAATGTATTCTAATTGTTATTTGAGAATGGGAAAAGTGAAATGTTTCAGATACGAAAGAGACTACACATAAAATATGAGTTAAACATTATTAAGAAAATATTTTATTTAGTTTGTAGGTTTATTAAAATTTTTGAGTTTTTAATAAGTTAATTATATGACTGTAGATCTTGATTATCAATTGATTGATTTGTGGACTCTCCAATCAGAAAGTACAGATATTTTATCTTTGTATAAATTTTTTTTACATCATACAGTTATAGGTAACGATTCAGATTCCGAAATGGCACAAGAAAGAGTAACTAGAAAGTGGGAAGTGTTTCAAGGAAGAAACAGATTTTATTGTAATGGCAGATTAATGACCGCACCCAATTCGGGAGTATTCTTGCTAACAGTTTTTTTAATTACAGTAACGAGCACTTTATTCTTTATATTCGAGTAAGTACATAAATATAATTCTGGCATTTTAATAGTACAGCATTTGATTTTCAGCTGCTCTTATTTGGCAGAAAATGTTACTATAGCAATTCCTATAATAGGCGCTTTATTGTTTTTATTTACAATGTCTTCATTGTTACGAACTAGCCTCTCTGATCCAGGAATTATACCTAGAGCTACAGCAGAAGAAGCAGCTTATGTTGAGAAACAAATTGGTAAAGAACATTTTAATTATAAGCCGATATAAAATACCCTGTGATAATATTTCCATATTGAGTTACAAAAAATTTCTATCTATAAGAAATAAGAAAATTATGTTTAAAAATTTGTCGATAAATTTGTCTATTTGTCCAAATAGTAGTTTTGTGTTTTAAAATATATATTCGACTATATAATTTCTTATGCTTAAAAACTATATAATTATTTTTACACATTGTATGAAGTGGTATTTTGCTTTTTGAAGGAAATTTTATTTTGTAGTTCGTTTTGAGATACAATTGCTTTCGTATCTTTTTTTTTTTTTTGTAGAAGTAACAAATTCTGCTAATAGTCCTACATATAGACCTCCACCACGAACGAAAGAGGTACTCGTTAAAGGACAAACTATTAAGTTAAAATATTGTTTTACGTGTAAAATATTTAGACCACCAAGGGCTTCTCACTGTAGCTTATGTGATAATTGTGTAGATAGATTTGATCATCACTGTCCATGGGTAAAAATGAGTTAATTAATTATTTAATATAAAATTAATTGCAAATGTGTTTCAGGTGGGCAATTGTGTCGGTAGAAGAAATTATAGGTTTTTCTATATGTTTATTGTATCTTTGGCATTTCTGGCAGTTTTCATATTTGCTTGTGCAGTGGCTCATCTTATTTTAAGTAAGTTCTAATTTTATTCTTTAGATGGTAGGTTGTAAATAAAAATAACGAGCGTTCAAATAAAAACGTGGTCAAGTTGGTTCTGAAAATTTGGACGTAGGGCGTAGCGTATAGCAAATGAACTTAAACATCATCTGCCAAAGCGCTATATCGCCGCTATCAATTTGAATAGTTTCATTTTAAAAAGCGTTTAAAATGTTGTTTTCTCAAGAACAAAAAGTGTTTATCATAGAGTCCTACTTTAGAAATGGACGCAAGAATATGGAAGTATTCTATTGAGGAATGTTTCATAGAATTTCAAAATCAATTTCCCGGCGTTGTTGAGTACAAAATTTTTCAAAGTGCAGTTCAGCGTTGTGTTACTGTTTTTCGTGAAACGGGCAGTGTAACAAGAAAAGTAGGAAGCGGCCGACCTAAAAAGAGGACTGAAGAATTAAAAGAAAATGTCCAACAAATAATGGAAAATGCGCCAAGAACTTCTGTACGTGTTTTATCACAAATGGTGGGAGTATCAGTCGGTACCTGCCACACAGTGTTAAAAAAAGATTTGCGTTTGTTCTCCTATCGTTTAACTTATTAGCAAAAACTTCATGAAGTTGATTTTCCGCGACGGGCTGTATTTTGTGAATGGTTTCTAAACAACTAAGGTGAACTTCATAATATCACCTTTTTTTCTGATGAAGCCTGGTTTCATTTAAGTGGTTACGTAAACTCACAGAATATGAGATTGTGGTCTTCTGAAAAACCACATAACTTTTTTGTCGAGGGCCCTCTACACGCTCAAAAAATTGGAGTTTGGTGTGCTCTCAGTCGAAGGAGGATTTATGGAGCTATTTTTTTTAATGGTACTCTTATACTGCGCAAAGGTATAGAGAAGAAATTATCGCTCTTTTTGTTAACCAGCTGGAAGAAAACGAAATTACAAACTTTTACTTTGAACAAGATGGTGCAAGGGCACATACGGCAGGCGAAACGATGAATATGTTGAGGGGAAGTTTTCCAAAATCGACTAATAAGTCTCAATGCTGAACATGAATTTCCACCGAGGTCATGTGATATTACGCTGTGTGATTTCTTTTTGTGGCCTTACCTTAAAAACACTATTTTTGAACTGCCTATTCTTGATTTAAACCATCTGCAGGCTCGACTTATAGACAAGATTCGTGAAATTAACAATACCCCGAGCATCTTAGAAAATGTCTTTAATTCTTTGAGGAACAGGTGTGAAAAGTGCTTGGAACAAGGAGGGGGACACTTTCAGCAGCTCCTTTAATTTATTGTTATAACAAGGTGGGGGACACTTTCCGCAGCTCCTTTAATTGTTGTTATTGTTATCACGATTATTCTTTAAAATAAAGTTATATAGTCATTAACGTTATTGAAACTGACAGCTGCTATACAGCTCGTTGAGAAATGAGGTTAAGTTGGTCGCTATAAGCTACTCCCTACGTCCAATGTGTCAGAGCCAACTTCGACCACGTTTTTATTTGAACGCTCGTTATATCTAGGCCATAACTTTTTCATAATAAAACTGAAAATCATTGTCACTATTATTTTAGTAACGAGGGATGACAGGCAATTTTTAGAGGCAGTGAAGGAATCACCAGCCAGTGTAATAGTAGCTATTATATGTTTCTTTAGTGTATGGAGTATTCTAGGATTAGCAGGATTTCATACTTACCTCACAACTAGTAACCAGACAACAAACGAAGATGTGAGTAATAATGTATGGGTGGCTGATTCACATAAAACTCTCTGACCTGCTAATTTGGTTTTTGATATCATGAAGTTTTTTTTATGTAAATTAAGAATCTAAGTAGAATTTTTCTAAAGCAAATTGTAGATGGCGCTGGAGTCAATATATTCCGTCATAATAACAATTTCTACTAACAGTAATACTGTGGTCAATAATTAGTATGAGAACTGTTTCAAATTTTCAAGTTAAAATGTTAAATACACAATGAATGAGGAACAGTATAGGCAGTCCTCGTACTTATGGCAGTGGCGGCTCGTGACATTGAGAATAGGTAAAGCATATTCATTGATTAACTAAAAAGAAAAAAAAAACACCGCTGGCGAAAATTTTTAAGGTCAAACGGCTTTAAATTAATCTGGAAATTTTTACAATTATTATATAAAACAAATATTAACAAAGAGCCGTTATAATCGGCACTGGGCGGCGCGTATCGTATAAACTGTTAAAGGCAGGTGATAGGCGATGCTGCTTCAATTTCTGCGTCACTCTCTCCCCCATGCCGTAGTTTGATCACGTATTGGCCGCCTTGTTGCCATAACAACTGTCATAAATAACGCTACGAAGAGAAGCAGAAAACAGACTGATTTCAATCTGTCACTTGCGTATACTATACATTGCATGGTCCGAGGTTGATATTCACGCTCAACGAAGGCAATGTTATATTAGAAGGTGTTCACCGCGCAACTATTCTGTTTATTTCTGCGTATTAAGCAAACAAACACAATACATTTTCAATATAGAATTATACCTAAATTATAAAATTAATATAATAAAATTAAAAATAATTTTAAATTGCACAACCAAATGGAAATTTTAGGTGAAGCTGTGCGTCACTTGCGTCACCTGACGAGCCGCCACTGATTTATGACATGTTCGGTCCTCAAAATATATAATCGATACATTTTTTTCATCAATTTCTATATAAAGTGGAGGAGTTAGGTTCTATCAAAACGTATAATGTAAAAAAATAATATATTTTTATTAAATAATTATACTTCATTTATAAAACAAACTATGTATATGGTACATACGTATTGCACAATTAAAAAAATAAAAAGAACGATAAAAACTAAATCATTGGTTTAAAAATCATATCAATTCGAGGTTGTTTCGCTTTTTTTTCTTGTTTTCATACATTTTTCGATAACACTGACAGGAAGTAATAATTTTTTTATTAACCTTTAACTTCTTTCAAAATTTGGATCATGTTCCTTAAAAATATTGTGAAATAGCCCATGACGTATCTTGAAACCATTAACGTTAGATTGAGAACTGGTGTTAAAATATTGTCGGATGCAATTCGAAAGGACTAAAGTCGAACCGACGTAACTTGAAGGCTGCGAGTATTTTGAAATCCTAAACAAGAAAAGGAGTCGCCTGACAGTATAATATGAGGTATAATACATTTATTCTTGAAACCTGAAAAACATTATTAAATGTGGTGGCGGTGAGTGAAAATTTAAGTAATTATATTTTGTTAGTGAAACATAGGATATAGGATCCAGACCGTGTTTTAGGTGATGATTTCCATGCTGATATTGAGAACTCTTATTTTGAACAAAATTTGTAAAATAAAATATTGAAACTGAGGTAGCCTCTCCTAAGATTCAAGAAGGGCATATACCTAT